CCGGTAAACCGTAGGCAGAGAGGGAGAAGAGGACAACAAACGAGGGCCTGTGACAAACTGTTTCGTCGGAGTTTCACCGACTCATCAGGAGGCTGAACCCTCAACAGTCTGTAGAATCCCCTCACTGATTACACTAAGTGATAATCCACCTTAACCAAAATCAAAGTAGACTATCACTCACCCACACCAGATGGAAAACTCTATATATATATATATATGCTTTCCAGGGCCTAGTGCGAGTATTCTCTTAGGGCACACTCATACTAGGCCCTCAAAACCGCAAAATCACAAAATGAACAGCATGATCTATAGTCCTTCCTTTACAAGGACTCGATCATGCCGCTCATTTTGTGATTTTTCGAATTTGAGGGGCTAGTGTGAGTACGCTCTTAGGCTTAAAGTTGCACCAAAATACAGCCATAGCGACCTGGCATTCAGTTCAAGTGAAGACAGCATGTCTTGGCAATCGCATCCAAGGAAATTTAGCTAGAAAACCACAAGAAGGCGTTCGAGCAGACGGGAAGTAAAGAAAACCACACTAGTGGTAATAGCCCTTCTCTGAGAGACAGCAAAAGAAGCAGAAGAGAGTCAGAAAGTTTGAGACTCCCAACAACCTCAAGCCACTCAACCAGACGTCTTATCGACACAGCTAGGAAAGATCGAACTCCAAGAAAAAGAACGAAAAAAAAAAAAAAAAAAAAAAAAACCAGCAGCCGCATCACATATTCCGCAGAAGAAAGTCTGAAAATTGGAGAGCCCTAACAACCTCGAGCCACACGAGTCTTATCAACACGGCGAGAAAAAGATCTACACACTTTCAAAAAAAAAAAAAAAAACAGCGGCTGCATCGGGTAAACCACACGACAACGCCCCCACCTGTGTAAAAAGACCTGACCTGCCTGTTTTCGAAGTCGCACCATGTTTTCTCATTACCGTCTCGAACTCGCAGGGTCCTCCTTTCATTGCCTTGAATAACTCCTGTGGTGTGTGAAATGAAACAATAAATGGCACTTCGGTCACGTGGAAGTTCGCGATGTGTCCTGAAAAGCTGACCCTCCTGTTTTGAAAGCAGTGCCGCATTTTCATTGGCTTTTTGAACGTGCGCCATGTGAGAAGCATCTTTTCTTTTCAACTTTCTGGCCTTTAGGACACTGGATTGAGTGAAACGTACTTACACCCCCCACCCCCAACACCCCCCCCAAAAAATTTAAAGAAAAACTCAGGGGCTTAAACCACCAGTGCTTCCTATGCCCGTTACCGCGCCACGATTTTAGGAAACATACGGGGTACTACAGGAGCGCCCAAATTCATCCGACTAGAAACGTTTCTACTCCTTTCTTTTCCGCGGCCAATAGCTGGGCCAAGTACTGGTGGTTTACTATTATTGAAGTGATACGAGTGTGTCCCCCAATAGCAAGGTCGCTTTGTGGATGGCTCTACTCTATAGGTGGGGAGCTACACTGGCTAGAAACCAGGTCCAGAGTCCCATTAAACCACCAGTACCTGGCCCAGCTATCGGCCGCGGCGCTTCCCATGTACGCGCCGCACCATTTGGGCTTTTCGGCCTGCCGGACCGCATTGGCTGGAGGCCGCAGGCAAAACGAAAAAGAAAATTGTGACGGCGGTTCGGCAGGACTTGGCGCGCAGCGTGCTGGGAGGCTCGGATTCAATAGCTGAGCGAGGTACTGGTGGTTTAATCAGAACGTTTCAAGCGTAGTTCAATTAGAAAAACAACAATCCGACACTGCAGGATAGATTACCCTGACTATCTCTCAATTAGAAAAACAACAATCCGACACTGCAGGATAGATTACCCTGACTATCTCGGGGCATTGGGCCTTGAACGCTGGAAACACGGCCCCACTCTGACACCAATGCATGGAAAATCTCATGCTACTATGCTTAGCAGTGCAGCCTTTTCTATATATCGGAGTACAGCTGATGAACAAGTCCTGGCTTCTCAAAAAATAAAGGGAAAATTTTCTATATGCCCCTAAAAGTTCAATTCCTTCGCACCGTGCCCCTCCAACGGCCGACTTACCCTGCCGTGCCCCTGGGGCCTCTGAACTTTACTGCAGGCCCCTCTCTGTGAGGGGAGAAACTTTCCAGCATGCCCCTGTGGCCATTGGTGGCACACGCGGCCGTTCCCCTGGCTCTGAGAGGTTAGCAGCTACCGGGGCATACTAGAAATTTGGAACCAGTACCGATAGGGGTATACATTGAACAAATTTCAGTCCCAAACGACACCAGGGGTTTTCCAGACACTTCAATCTCACTCAAAGGGGCGCTGCAGCGTACGTCGGCCGTTAGAGGGGCACACTCCAACTTTGAGGGCATATAGAAAGTTTTCCCAAAAAAAAAAACAAAAAAAAAACAATTGGCCTATCTCAGTTGGTATGAACTGTTAAAATACCGACCTGAGTTCAAACTCCACTGAGAGTCATGGCCTACCGAACATAACGCATATGTGTTGTATTCGAATTCGAAAAACATTAATTGAATGCACGACGTATTCAAAATTTAGCGCTATTCGAATAGAACGCACCCTATGTGTTGTCTTCGTTCGTTTACAACTCGTACGCGTTATGTTCGGCGGAAGAAGAATGGCGATGTTGAAGTGTGGTGGTAGAACGCGGGGACCGAGGTTCATGCACACGGTTGTTTGCTGCTAATGATTGATTTCTATGAAGCGGCTTCATCGCTGACTACCGCAGCAGTTCGTAGTTCTGTCACAAGCAGGCGTCGCAAGGCATTTCCAAGCGCAGCTAGGGAAGAGTCGACAGAACTTGTGGTGGTTTTAACGTCTCCGTCGAGTCCATCCAATATTTGATCATCTTCTACTGCTACCCCAAGCACTGTGTTACTCACTATTATCACATCCAAACGCACTATTTCATCTCTTTCCGATTCTCTACCCCTCTCATGCCACCGCAATTTCAAATGCATCCAACTTCCGCCTGCCTTTTTATCCCGACTTTTCTCTTGTTTTTATGCTTCTTTTCCCTACTTTTCCATTCTCTGCCTCTCCTTTTTCCACTCCCTCTTTACACTGTTTATCACAACATTCGGTTTCATAAACAGCAGACGGTTCCAGGCTCGCATTCCCAACGCCGGTGTTTGCCAAGCGCAGGATTTGTCGGTCGCGGCACACACGATTTGCCTGACGGCCCAGCCCTTCTGCAGATGCATTTCGACTCGACCGGATGCTTCAAACAGCGTTTTAACTCTTCGGTCCACCACTGATAGGGTTTAAGCATCCGCGACCGCAGCATCCGTCAACGCAGACAGCAAAAGACAAACGGCACACGATTTGCCTGACGCCCCAGCCCTTCTGCAGACGCATTTTGACTCGACGGGATGCTTCAAATGCAGGGCCAACAGCGTTTTAACTCTTTGGCCCACCACTGATAGGGTTTAAGCATCCGCGACCGCAGCATCCGTCAACGCAGAAAGCAAAAGACAAAACCAGACGACCTTATCGAGGCTGAACATGCACAACGAGCATCCATACTCATGCCAACTTGCCTAGGGGACCCTAGTTACAACCAAGAGGGGCACATATTGCACAGGAGTTCCGTGCCTGAACAGGGAGCAAATGCACTGGCACACACTCCCTCCAACTCCACAGCATATTCGAACATTAAAAAAAGCAGTTTGACGAACATTACTCACCCGATAGGACTGCAGACATCAACAAGAGAAGGGGACCATGTCGCACTCGAATGCTTCCTTCATTTCTTAAGCTGATTCAAAGTCTGGACAGGGTGCAATCGCAATAAGGCACTGTATTGCTCGGGTTTATCGTGCTCCCAATAGGAAAGAATCTGAAAGATAGAACCGAGAACTCAGTACTCTCGTTCAAAAACTGCCTTTTCCTGACATGTCTAAATGCTACGCACCTGGACCTAGTCTGGTGGAAGTTGGGACACACACATCAAGACAGATGCACGAAGTAGACAGAACATTGCATTCATTTCGTGACATCGCCGCCTGAGCCAGACAAATGAGTGAAAAGCGGCCCTTTACTCCCCATCACAGGCACACGGCATCTTCATTACCACGCAGTTGGGGGGGGTAAGTCCGGACCCAAAGGAAAAACAGAACGGAATACATCATTTTTTAAGTTATTCGTCAAGAGAAACTTGAATCACGCAGAAAATAAATTCAGAAATCGACCCAGAAAACCACGCAAATACGAATTGGGAAATAGCCCTGCACAACTCCAATCACAGGAGAAACGACGTCGGAGGCCTAACACCTGCGCTTCCATCACAGGAAACCTCCTCCATAACAGGGAAATAATGTTGAAGAACTGACACATGCACTCGATAGCAGAGATGACAGAAGCTAAGGCACTAAGGCAGCCTTGTCCTCCTGCCCGAAACGTCTACCAAATCCCATATACAAATCACAGACAAGCAACCTCTGCAAGCGCAGCCATGCACATGTCACTACGAACATCTACCTGCTTTCTTCTCTAATCACTTCCGATTAGAAGACACAATGAAACCATCCTCCCAGTACATGCCTCTATAAAGCCCTACTGAAATTCCCCTAACATGCAGTTACAACCAGCTCATGCGGCCGTGTTCCAGAGAGTCAGTCTGTAATTTGCAATGTCAGGACTCTCTCTCTCTCTCTCTCTCTCTCTCTCTCTCTCTCTCTCTCTCTCTCTCTCTCTCTCTCGCGCGCGCGCGCTCACACACACACACACACACACACACACACACACACACCTGCTTGCTCGTCTCAGCAATTTGTGTGCTCAAGATACCAGACACTAAGAAAACTAGTGGTGGATATACCGAACTCTCTCTGACTGAGGAGATAGCCAGCTTCACACATTCACAGTCCAAACGCACCTCGTTGTATACAATGTCTGGACTGGTGGTAGGTGCACTCACCAGGTTGACCAGGTTCAGTGGCCTTGTTGAGCGAGCACAGCAACTGACACAAAAAAAAAGAAAAAAAAAGAAAAAGAGAAGTAACGAGCAGAAGAGTCTGAAACGAAAGCATAGAACTCACAAGTCCTCCATCAGTTGGTTAGCTCAGCCTCTTGCGAACACATGGGAATGTGTCTAACAAAGCAAGCGATGAAGTGCACTGCCATCACCATGGCATTTTCATCATCCCATAGACTGCTGAGTCGCCCCGAAGATCGGCGGTCCTCTGTGCATGGAAGACAGCACAGCTACAGGGAATAGAAAAAGAGAAAGGAAATAGAAAACGAAAACGAAGGTCGAAGAATGATATCAGTATATACTATATACAAATGTGAGAGCTTTTCATCAGCAGCAGTGGGGAGATCACCCACGATGACAGTTAAGACCTACCCGTAACCATGTGTTACCTTCGCGACGCACATCAACACACCACAAATGGCCAGATACCATGACAGCTAAGACCATATCCATGCTGTTTAGCATGGTCCATGGAGGGCACTGCTCATCCCGCCTCCAGGTGGACTTGGCCAAATTATTATGCGTATCCGGCAAAGTAGTGCCCTACATCAGCATGACAAACCAACTCCGTCACACTCGCATGGCCCCTACATCCTCTACCTGCATCGACCACCAGTCGTCATTTCACGACTAACCATTCATGGGTGACGGCCATGCCTCAGTTGAGGTGTCTGGCCGACTGCTGATCTCGAACTTGTTGCAGACCTTGAGACGCCAGACCTGGTTGTATCCGATCTGACGGAGGCTAGTTGGTTGCTCGCCGCAGCTGCTGACGCACTGGTGATAAGCACTTGAGGAAGCGAGGATGGAGAAGAGAGTGACGGCGACGGAGGCGAGTCGTCATCCCTAGACATATCTGGCCTCTGTAGACGTGTCCCAAGGAGAAGGGCATCAAGTCGCTCCAACTGTTCATGTCTGTCCGTCCGATCATCGCGGTCGTTGCGCCTAGTACGCATGTACGCTTGAAAGCGTGCCCGCACAGGATTATGGCCTTCGGCGTTCGACTCGGTAAGGCGTGCTGCTGCCCCGGAGAAAAGGTCCATGTCGTCGTTTTCACTTTCATCATCTTCCTCGATGTTACGGTCTGGAACGACTCGTGTATTTGCAACTGAGGACGGGATCGGGCCGATGTTCGAGCCTCCCCTCCGAAGGCTAACCGAGTGCATCGCCGGCCTATGCGAATCACTAGTTACCAGTGTCGAGGGCATCGACATGCTCGTCGCCGACCTCGGTTCCCGAAACGGATTGTTGGAGGGCACTCTCGCCGCGCTTCTCAACCGAGGAGTGTTGTGGACGAAGTGACTGTGCACTGCATGGCCCTCGCCTGTCACCAGGTGGGCAGCGATTCGAGCAAGACCTCTCGTATGGTGGCGTGTCCTCGCATTCGTCGGGAGCATGTGCATCAGAGGATGCGGACCTGGGATAACCAAGGAAGAAAGTTGATTACCCGGGCTCATGGCACTGGTCGAGCATTTCCTTGGTGACATGGCTGCACTAACTTCCGGGAAGAGAAGCTGGATCGTGTTCCACAGGACAGTGTTCACAGGGCAATGCAACGCTGCATCCGCTCTGCATGTTGCAACCCACACACAAGCCAACATTCACATAGAGAGGTCAAACACGACGCCCATAAGAATTGGCAGGCCACAAGACAAATCCGTCCACTATAAGACATTCAACATCACTCCAACCGATCAGTTTGCTCAACAGCATCATGCAAAAGCATTTGAGCTCCACATGAGTTTCGGTGACGACCACTATGCAAAACATTTACAGTCATCAGATTGACAACCCCTCCCTGTCCCGCCCAAACAACTTCAGCGAGGGAGCTCCTCCGGTACCGTCAAGAAACTTATTTAAACTGCTTTCCTAAAAAGCAAAAGAGGATATTTCTAAACCTTATCCACCCATTTCGGAATTCGCACGCACTCACAGTGTAGCTCTCTTCTTTACTCTCCCTGTCAATGCAAACTCTTTGTGATTGCCTGCTGTGACAGTTATGGATCCAACTAAATGATGCAAATGAAGTCACCTAAGCAAGTTATGGCACGCCCAGAAACTGTGCTCTCTCTCTCTCCCTCTCTCTCTCTCTCTCACATACACACACACACAATTTGCGACCACCTCCCCAGCATCTTGCAATGAAAAGGACTGCCAATTCCCAACACTTGAGACTTTACGTTCACCCAGAAGAGCCTGAGTCAGAGCACACCAGTATACAGGAGTGGCAGCAAACAAGTCCCAGCAGGGGTCTCTCTCTCTCTCTCTCTGGCACATACACAAATTTGCGACCACCTCCCCAGCATCTTGCAATGAAAAGGACTGCCAATTCACAACACTCAAAGCACACCAGTATACAGGAGTGGCAGCAAACAGGTCCCAGCAGGGGTCTCTCTCTCTCTCTCTCTCTCTCTCTCTCTCTCTCTCTCTCTCTCTCTCTCTCTCTCTCTCTCTCTCTCTCTNTCTCTCTCTCTCTCTCTCTCTCTCTCTCTCTCTCTCTCTCACACACACACACACACACACACACACACACACACACACACACACACACACACTTGGGGTCACCTCCCCAGCATCTTGCGATAAACAAAAGGTCTCTTCCATTGCAACGAAAAGAACTGCCAATTCACAACACTCAGAGCACAACAATATAAAAGAGTTGCGGAAAACAGGTCCCAGCACCTAAAAGAGGGGGTTAAGCAAACTTAGCAAAGAGAGAGTCTTTTTGTGAGACTATCCCATATGGGTCAGATGTTATATAGAAAAATTCCTGCCCTTCGACAACATCTCCATAAGAGGGTGGCATCAGAAGGCTGAATAATTAAAGCCAGAGAGAACAAAGCAAACTACAGAGATTCAGTATGATAACGGACACTGAAAAGCCGTTCAAACTCACAGGAGTGCTCCCATCCAGAACGCTTTAGTCTACTCACCCTAGTGGATGTCGGCACTTTGGACACTTCGGTCCACATCGCTGTATCGATGACCGTAGACATGAAGAACAGAAGCTGCAAGCCACAAATTTTTCACCATTTCCAAACATTGCCTGTGTCAATTGCCAACTTCCAAAAAAAAAAAAAAAAAAAAAAAAAAAATGCCATCCACCAAAAATGTTAATCCGAACTGCTGCTGACTACTTGACGCACGAACTCCTATATCTCCGGAATATTCACACACAAAAAGTTTGGGGCCCGCTCCTCTACAGAGCACTCTCCGTGCATTTCAACACTTTTTGGTACCGATACATTCAAAATGTTGGTCTCGTCCGAATGCACCTGGCCCAGAGGGAGACCAAATGCACGTAGAGTGTTATGTAGTGGAGCAAGGCCCTATGTCCAGGGTTGACTCACACGTTGTCTGCTCTCTCTCTCTTCATTAAAAAAAAATCCAAAAAGTATGACGAGAAGAGCAAGAGGTCAGTTTTACAGACATCTAAACCTTTAGTGCGAAAAAAAAAAAAAAAAAAAAAAACACCCCCAGATATCTACACCTTGCACCCTTCCAGTAGCTGAAGAGTTCACATAAACAAATAAATTCACGTCGTGGCACCAGTGTTCGTTTTTTAGGCTGTTTTTTTTTGGACACTGGACCCGCTTTTTCCCGCTCCACGTCTCCAAAACTTTCCAGCTGTCCACGTGCCCTCTCTCCACAATGCTTCACTGTCCCAACACCAAAGCCCCTCCTCCTGTCTCCACTCCCACTTCTTGCTGCCTTCTTACATCCCCACCACGCATGCCTTCCCCCTCTCTCGACCCGACTCCAACCACCTGCTGCACTACATTACCACCATTGTAAATGATTAACCCCTTGGTCCTTCACCATTCAATCAGCACCAACCCAACTTTCATTACCATCCTCTTCATCCAAACACCTTTCACGCTCTTCTTTCCTCTCCTATCCATGGTCTCTGTCATCACCAATGGACTTCCACAACTCCACCTCCGGCACAACGCACGAGTCAATACGCCGGTGTGGCTGGGGCGTCCACAGGTTGTACTACACACCTCACCCACTCGAGCACTGGTCCACGTGCCCAGCGGGTCACTTGAGACTGAGAAGTGGTCTAACTGTATAACCCCTCTCCCCAGACCGAATGGACCCTACTCCGCATGGCCATGCAAGTTTCATCTAAGTGTAGATTACTGCAGCATAAACAGCCACAGCAAGTCACCTTCAGCACACCTCTTGCATCAACTAGTCGATTACATCACTCGAACATTAACGACGGCACACCTCTTGCATCAACTACTCCATTACAGCACTTTAACAATAACGAGCTCAGATATCCGCATACCGGTGTGAGAAGCAGCAGTCCACCTCGCATTCCAACAACGCAGCCAGCAAGCCCAACACAACCAGACATGTTTTGGAGATGAATAATGCTCAGAAGATGGAAGTTTTCCTAACCTGTGGCCACAAGTAGTGGTAGATGGCTCCACACATATTTCCAGACAGACCTGCAATACACCGACACAACCACAACCCTTTATTTAGATTTCCGGTCAGAAGACCTGCGAGACGCCAACCAACCACCAATATAAAACCCTAGATATAGGTAGGCAGTCAATCCAAGCCTGCTAAGCCGCCAGTTCATGGCCCCAGGCAACTTGAGAACCGGACCAAAATGACCGGCTCTATCCAAACATTTCAAAGGTTGAGGGCAACCGACCCAAATGGCCGGCGCCGGCGTCAGCAAAAACGAAAAGTATAAACTTTACACTGACATTTCGCCAAAGCTTTGGCGTGCGGTGGGAATCCGCCCTGCTGCGCAAAAGTGGCTCCGATATACTGGTGGCTTGAGTATTTCAAAGTTGGGTGATGTTTGGACCCTCACGAGCAACACACTCACCAAACCCCACCAAGCACTACCAAGAAGAGTCACGAAGAAAATATACCAAACAAGAGTAAATGAAGACAATACCAAATGTGGATCACGCGCATTTACATACCGCGCATGATAGTTCCTGGCGGAGCTGCTCGAGGCAGGGGAGCTCAAGAGGCCGTCCATTCGATTGCGCAATTCTGCTTGCCACTCCTTGTTTCCTGTCCTTCTCACTGGGGGCCCGCTCCTTCTCCTGATCCTTTCCCCCCTCCCCTGATCTCGGTGAGGTTCCCCCCTCCCCTGCTCTTGCCGAGGACCCTTGGAATTCACACGGATCGGAGGGTCCCACAACTGCGCTGCTAGTGCTGACGCCAGTCCTCTCTTCTGCCCTCTCCAACACTATTCGCCGACTGGCTTGGATCGCTGCCACAACAAAAGATCACCATGCCATAATCAACATCGTCCCCCCACACAAGTGGAAATCACAATACACAACATTCATACGAAGCACAATACCATAAACATAACTTTTGGAGAGACAACACAGCGAAGAACATGTGCTTTCGCACAAAGGCACTACCATCAGACCAAGAGAAGCCAAAAGATTAAGGAGAATGGCAGGAGGAACAAAAAAAAAAAAAACAGTCAAGGAACCCATTACACTCCTTTGCTTCTTATCTTATGTGCATTAAAACCCTACCCACTGATAAGAATCAGTCAAGACTCAAGACTCGAGACGTGAAAGGTTGCCAATGGGCCTTGCTCGATTGGTACACCCATGAACTGCTGAGATGTAGACACGAAGTCGAGTCCAGATGCAATCAGGACAAAAAGAAAACAACAGAGGGGGCAGTAAAATAAGAAGACAAACCTCACCTTCTAATCTTCTCCCAAATTCTCTCCTGCTACTCTCCAAGCAAACCTTCTACATCACCTCCTATTGAACTGTTGAGGTACAGACCCAAGTTCGAATCCAGACGCAATCAGACAAAGGCAAAACCGGGGGGGGAGGAGGGAAGGGGGAAAAAAACGAAAACTTTACAAGCTTGACGACAAGGCACCCAAGCCAGCCTCAACTTATAATCTTCTCCCAAATCCCCTCCTCCTCTCCACGCAAGCTTCTACATCACCTCCCCCATTAACTGTTGAGGTACAGACCCAAGTTCGAATCCAGATGCAATCAGACAGAAAGGCAGAACTGGGAGACGAGGGGAGAAAAAAAAACTTGAGCAGCTCAACGACAACGCACCCAACCCAGCCTCACCTTCTAATCTTCTCCCAAATTCTCTCCTGCTCCTCTCCAAGCAAGCTTCTACGTCACCTCCTTCGCGAATCCTTCGCAACGCTTCACTGCTTGTTGATTGCATTCCCTCATTTTCATTGACTTCGTCAGCCGTATGCCGCATCCTGCGATACCTGCAAATGACACATACAACCAAGCACTGACCAAAGTGAGCACGCGATGCCGCCAAGAGCAAGAAATAAATCACTTGCAGGCGATCATAATCCAGCTTTTCGAATCTACCAACTCTGACTGGCCATAAAAAGGCAGCCCACAATATTCACAACCCCAGCCGCTCACTGAAATACTTAACACAAATGTTGCCATCACCTTACCCATGTCAAGCTACTCATCTGCATCCCACATATCCAATTCCAATGCAGAAAGATAACCGGCGCAAAATTGCAGATCGGGCTAACCGGACGAGAAGGCTGCTGGGGCCTGGGAATTTGGCACCCATGCCAGTTGCAAATTTTCGGCACGGTCATAAATGAGAATCGAAACGACAAGTACAAGCCTCATCCTGTGGCACCAGTGCCTAGCTCGTTGTTGGGCGTTGACGAGGGTGGATGAATCGGCCACCTGTGTCCGTAATTATTCGCGTCAGGGGGGGGTCCAAGAACGTGGTAGGTACTGGTGGTTTAGACAGCTCGTGGTTGTGAAGAGCGGTCCCATGTCACATGGGACCGCTCTTCACAAGTCAAGTCACATCCGACCTGAAGCCCCTTGTCTATCCGCTACTGCGGAATATCTATACTTTCGTGTACAATCAGCAGGTCCTATTACAATAAGCATAAGACATTTGATCGACCCACAGGACCCATTTTCATTCTTGCTCTTGCGCTAATGGAAACCACTTCCGGATTCCATCTCATCTGATGATTTCTCCTCGTAAGCTAAACGCATCCTCGAATGTACCACAGAATTCAGGCGCAAGTAAGAACCCCTGGGGGTAGGTTAGCACCCTGCGAAGGGCAGCCCCTTGGTGATACACTCTCAGCCACACCCAGTCGTCAAGGTACTACCGGTTTAATCGGGGCCCATAGTCCCAGAATAGTAGATCCCTTTCATGATAATTTATATGCGCTTACCCGAATGCGTGCGCTCTCAACAAAACGCCGGCGAAGTACAGAAAGAAGCCTGATGCCTATGTTACAGAAGGAAACGTCCAAAAGGCGCGTAGTCCCGGAATAGTAGATCCCTTTCGTGATACCTTATACGGGCTTATCCAAATGCCCATTAGTGGCACAAGAATGTGTGCCCTTAGCACAAAGCAGGCAAAGTACCCAAAGGGGCTTGACGTCTAAGCGTCAGAAGCAAATCTCCAATAGCCGATAGCAATGCATGAAACGAGTGCTTCACCGAGGCTGCCATGTGTGGTCGCTGTGCCACAAGGGGCACTCCACCATGAGCACAAGACACACCCAGTCCTATAGAACCTCGAATACCATCTATGGCCATTGCGCCCGACGGGACGTCCAACAAGAGGACGCAACAAAACCGGCCCTACAGAACCTCCAATGCCGTTACAAAAAGGATCTTTTAAATTATGATGGACATTTTTCAAACTGTAAAAGCTCGCCTAGGCACGAAGCATGCCTAATTATCCTGTGGGGCCCAAGCATGCTGCCCGGGCATGTACATGCTGAGTCCATAACACTCATAAGAAGGCCTGGGCATGTACATGCTGACAAGTGTGTTCGGTTCAACTGGTGCTATTAAAAAAATCGACCTGTGTGTTTCCACATCACAGCCCGAATTCCCTGAGAGATAACGGGCCTTGCTCCCACTGCACAACACTCTACATGCATCTGGTCGGTTACTGGATTGGATGCATTAGAAATGTTGGACTTGCCCAAATGCACCTGGTCCAGAAAGCGTCACATGAAGAGTGTTGTATAGTGAAGCAAGGCCAAATACTCGCCCAGCATATCCAATAAAAGCTTCTCGCACTGCCACAGATATCAAAACCATACACGAGCACTCACAGCGTGCTGGCCTCTTTGCCAAGGTAAAATTTTTGGCACTATTTTGTCACCTTATCATTCTCTAAATTCCGTCACATCCACTCTTCTGTTGCCTTGTCATTTTCTGAATTCTCCTCCCGTCTCCCTTCCAAAACAATCTGCGTGTCCCAAAAAAAAAAAAAAAAACCTTCCACATGTCTCATTCTCCGTTTGTCCGTTCGTTACTTTTTCCCTGCCCTTTGTTTTCCCCGCCCCCCTTCTCTTGCCCCCCCCCCCTTCCTCCCCTCCTCTGACAACTCGCCTGTTTTAGCAGCACGCCATTTTTTTTTCTCACTTTCTGTGGGGTCCACGAGCTCGCAACGTACATTCTCATATAGTCGTATACTCATTGCTCGACAGCTAGCACTCTTGAATCTACATCCGGCGGCCTTTCGAACTCCGAAACTGGCCCCAAACATAACTTTGACTCTTCGCACTCTTTTCTGACGCTTCATTCGCATGAACTGCTTTCGTCGAGTGATCCCCAGCGCCAATTACATTGCAGTTTTTCGATCAGAGGGCTCATCTTGTCCAATATTCCACAACACCATCCGCCGACACTCAACTGCTCCAAACTTGGGAGGTTCATCATTGCCAGGGCACTGCCCACATATTCATTTGTTCGATACGCCGTAGAGTAGGTCCAAATAGGCAAATCAACAGTTCATTCCTTCTTCTTGCCCAATAAGCACTGAAAAGCTCCGGGACTACCTTCTTCACCCGAATACAGTGTACAGTCATTATTGCTGTATTTAGACTGAATGATCGTCCAAATTCAGTTATAATGATCGTATGTCGTATTTGGGTGAAGAATGTAGACTTCAGTTTCCAGAAGACCACTCGACAATTTTTCATTGCACTCCTTATCCAACCAGTCGAGCATTTCCATTCACCTCTTCTCGCATCTTTATTATATTGCAGTCCTTATATCCTCCCATTCCCGCATTTCCATTAGCCGTCGAATGTTAGACGCTGCGGGCTTGGATAACAAACAGTGTCGAGAAGAACGCCTGCTTGGCTTTGCTACGTCACGACAGTTGTGGGATCAGCACCATTCGAGCACTACCTCCTCTATTTCCAACTGAAGCGAGACTACACGTACCTACCCCAAGGTAATTTTCCCTCTGCTTCCGCCTTTACCTACAGCAGAGGCTCAACTATGCGCGGCCTACTTTTCACGCACTCCAATCCATACCACCACCAATGGTACTTGCCAAAGCTCCCGGTGAACGGAAAATCGGCCGTGAAAAAAAAACAAAAAAGGGCCATGAAAAAAGCAAAAAAGGGCCATGAACTTGGATAACATTTAATTGATAAGGATGTTGCTTTTGAGAACACTTGAACGATAAGTTTTTTTTGGTCTACCGTCTTCCCCCCTGAATAGAACGCCCGGTCACTTTATACCTCTATTCGGGCGACTTTTCGGATACAGCGATAATGACCGGGCACTCTATTCGGGTGAAGTCGGTAGTTTCCTAGACACAGTTCACCACTGCCACACAAACGCATTCAGTAGCTTAGGCTTGCGCCGACTGCTACACAAAATGCATTCAGTAGCTTTCAAAATAAAAGGCGCTTTCAAAATCAGTAGCTTAGGCTTGGACCGACAGTAGAACGAGTAACAGAGCAGGACTGAAAATAAGGGCGCTTCCTGATTTCCAAGAGGAAAAGGCGCTTTCAAAATTTCAAAGAGTAAAAGGCGCTTTTCGAATTCAAATCAAATCGATTGTGGATAGGAACGGACAGACAAAAGACAAGGAAGGACATAGTCATAGCCGATGGGACGCTAGCCTCGCTGTCACTGCAGTTCACTTGGAAGCTTTTTCTTTCCCCATAGAAACCTAACAATTATTGTGAACAGAAATGGGTCTGGGCAGATCAGACAGACACAACTCAGATAGCGTGGTGTGCCTGCAGAGGCCTGCCCAAGCAATGGCGCTTTTGGCATCACAAAGTGCAGGTCGGGGCAGTCCAGCCCAGGCGCACATGACCACCGCACAGTCCATCCCAGGCACACCTGACCACCTCCTCTCCTGCTTCTGCTGCCCCACACCGATTCCCCTTCTCATTGCTTCATCACCTCTTTCCTTCTTGGCCAGACCCATACTCTCCTCCTCCCCCCTCCTCATCCCCTCCCCCTGCCCTCCTCGTCAACACCTGCTCCCTCCGTCCTCCCTTGCCCTTCTCTACAAAATACATCTGCGTAAGATTATGCAAGGACAGCACACTGCTTACACTCCACACATCACATACATACCTTATGTATATAGAAGTACACCACCCATACACAGCACTTTCGTATTTTTCTGACCGAGACATATAAAAGGTTCAACTGACATCATAACCGAAAGAAAAATGTCTGCCTGACATCCGTCACACCTCACGGACAAGAGACAGCGCATACTCACACGCAAGGACATTTTCTACTCCGCTCTGGACGCGATCACAGTCAGATGCATCTAGATCTGGCGGTACTTCAGTAAAATACATTTAGGAAGGAGCTACAGTATGCCTCAGGAGGAGTGACTGAAAAACATTGGCACTGTCTGGCGGAAATACCCAGGAGCATTACGACGTGTGCTCACCGCAGCCCCAACAAATTTCACAAGAAACAAAATCAGTGGAGACGTAGATGGGGGCAGTATACCTGGCTGCGAGCAGTTCCCTCCATCCTCAAACAGAAACAAATTGCAGATCGACAAGGAGAAAGATCTACACGGAAAAAGAGCAAGCATTTTCCTGATTTCCCAGTCGCATGCAGCTTCAACCTCCAAGCGGTACCGTACTTGGTGGTAGGGAGCTCACCATGAACAACGAGCTGTTGAAGATTTAGAGAAAACTTTATTGAAGATAAGAGAGGGACAGACGCTGGGTCTAAACTACAAAGTGGACAGCTATGCTGATAGACGACAACTAAATATGACGGAGGAAACAGAAGAGGCTTCCCAAGTGCAGCACCACAACACAACCGCAACATCCACCGCAAATAAACCTCTGCCAAGCCAGAGGAAGCTGCTCCCTTCAGTGACACGGGGAGCCGCAGGTGGTCACTTGGCAAGCCAACCATTCGACAGAAGGCAAGGGGAGCACGCATCCTGAAGATAACTTTCTACAATAACCGAATGGAC